ACCTGGGGCTGGATTTCTTCACTGATGGCAGTCCATTGAGGGAGGTGGCTGCCGAGATATGGTAAGTACTGCACATACTCCAGAGCCTCCCTGTGTATGTAGCTAGTGCAAGGGATGTTCAGCTGGCCTGGGGGGAGGGGGCAGAGTTGGTGGAGAACCTTGATCTTGGCAATGCTCAAGGACAGGCCAAGTCTCTTATATGAAGCATTGAAGAGATCTAGGGTTGCTTGCATATCCTATGCAGAGTGAACCATCACGCAGCAATCATCCACAAACTAAAGGTCATGGATGTGTCCTTGGTGGTGAGTTTCATTTTTGCCTAGAAGCGCCCAAGATTGAAAAGCTTCCTGTCCAGTCAGTACTGGATAATGATGCCAGATGGTGCATTATCTTGGATAAGGTGGAAGATGACGGTCAGATAGATGGTGAACAGGGTGGGGGCAATCATGCAACCTTGTTTGACCCCAGTCCAGATGCGGAAGGCTTTGGTTGCAGAACTTCCACTCAGGACAGTGGCAGTCATATTGTCATGCAGGAGTCTCAGCATGGTGACAAACTTCAACGGGCATCCAAGGCCCTATAGGTCCCACGGTAAGATTTGTCCCCCTTCCTGTAGATGCTTACAATGGTCACATTCTTGAGATCCCTGGGGAAGTCCTTTTCATCCCAAAGGCAGATGATAAGCTGGTGGAGTCATGATGTGAGCCGGAAGCCACCAGCATGGTAGACCGCTGTGGGTATACCATCTGGCCTGCAGGCTTTGTTGGTTTTATTTGTTGGATGGCCCGCTTCAGCTCTCCGATGGTTGGAAGATCACCAAGCGAGTCCACCATGGGATGTTGTGGGACGGCTTGGAGGGTCTCCTCTGATATGGTGGACTCCCATTTATGGAGGAGTTCAAATTGCTTCTTCCAATGCAGACGTCCTTGAGGAGCCGGGAGCCATCCTGTGATCAGAGGAGGATTGTCTTGGTAGCCTGGAAAAAGTTACACATGTCATGCTGGTCAGCCCTGGATCACATGCGGCTTCTCCATCCACCAGTTGTTCTTCATGTCACAGATGCGTTGCTGGACCTCAGCCTTCAGCTGGTGGTACACTGCCGTCTTTCACCGAGTTTGTGGATGGCTTTGCCAGGCGATGAAGGCTGCACACTTCCAGTCAAGTAAATCACAAATCTGAGCGTCACTGGTGTCAAACCAGTCCTGGTTCCTTCACGATACAAACCCAAGAATGTGGGCGCAGGCATCTTGGACAGTGGACTTGAATTGCTCCCAGTGTGCCTAGATGAAGATGTCATCAGCAGTAGGGACTTGCTCCAGTGCACTATGCAACTGGGCCTGGAACTCCTCCTGCTGTCCAGGGTCCTTCCAGCAAGGGAAGTTTAGATTAGGTATTAGCAAGTACTTTCTCACTAGGAGGGCAGTAAAACACTGGAACAGGTTAGCCAGAGAGGTTGTGGACTCTCCATCCTTGAAGGTGTTTAAGACCTGGCTAGACAAAGCTTTGGCTGGGATGATCTAGTTAGGGATAGTCCTGCTTTGAGCAAGGGGTTGAACTAGATCACCTCCTGAGGTCTCTTCCAATCCTAATTTTCTATGATTCTGTGATGGTGGAGCTTCTTCTTGTATGATGGGGCCTGGCAAGAAGGGATGCTACAGGGTTCCCACCACTGTTCTGTAGATTCCGTAAATACCAGCACAACCAAAAACTTAACCTAAATAGCTCAGACTGGGTGGTGGGCAAGACAGCATTGCCCCCATGCTGAGCAGTTCACCTCTGAGCATGGGTTGATTGGGTGCCTGGTGCACCCTTTGCTCACCTACCTTCAGGCTCAATTCTCTTCCTGGTGAGCCAGCTTTCTGTTCTGTTTCTCCCATCTGGACACTGGGCCAAGTATGCCACTGCTTCATGGTGCTCCCCGCTGTGCTTGTATGGGATCTGCAGCTCCATCAGTCCACCATCAGCGTGCTCTGAGTTTGTAGATGCTCCAAGTGGGGCATGCGGGGTCACTGGGGGGAGGCATGGAGGGAGTCACATGCACCCTAATCTAATGCCCACAGGGCCCCCTGGGCTGCCCTCTGCCAGCCCCACCTGACATGCAGGTTTCCAAGCGGTCCTTGGTCTGAGGTGTCGAGAGGGCTTGTGTCTATGCTGAACTGCTTATTGGTGGCTTTGGGTGGGCTGACATTTGATCTGGCCCTCTGGGCTCCATGGGCAAAGGAGCCCTTCTGTGTTCACCCAGTATTTTGGTCCCATGGAGCACAGCTGGCCTCCGGCCAATTGCCAGGAGTGTGTCCGGGTTTTTCCCAGCTGCCTCCACTGCAGAACACACACTGCTTCCGCGGGCACACCAGTCCTCAGAGGAGCCACCAGAGGAAGCTTCCAGCAATGGAAAGAGCATCCAGCTCCATTTTCTGTGCCTGGATGCATCTTCTGCTTGCCTTGGCCTCAGGACCTGTTTTAGGCATGTGGTCTCTGAACCCCAGACCAACCGGTGGTGCTGTCTCCTGCTGCCTGGTGCCGGTCACCTGGATTGCGATGCTGAGGTAATTTGGGCGGGAGCCTGTCACATCCAGGCACCCCAGTTCCACTCCCCTCGCCCACCACAGTGGGTCCTGCTTGGGCCCTTTCTGCTTCCCCAAACTATGGGTCACCAGCTCCCTTGCTCCACTCCTCCTGTCCTGAGTCCCCCACCCACTCTGGTAGCTCCCAGGCAGTGCACAGTGGAGAGCATTCTCCCGCCACTGTTATCCAGGCATCCCTCCTGTAGGACCCCTATTCCTGTCACTCCAGAGAAGAGTCTCTGCAATGGGGCACAGCATGCCATGGGGGCTGGGTTGCAGTCTCTGTTGCCACCTCTGGCCAGGAGGGCTACAGGCTCTCTGTGGGAGGCAGCGCTTGTGGCACTCAGGGCTATCATAAGTAGATGCAAAGTGGTCCAGGACCCTGTCCATAAATTCCATCTCTGCTGTATCTCTGCCAGCTCTGCAGAGGCATGGGTGGCAATCATAACCCCCTGTCTCTGCACCTCAGCAGCCCGGGTGTAGGCATCCCCCCAGCCTGACCATGTCCCCCCTCCACATCTCAGATATCTCCTTGTGCCACTCCTGCAGCTCCAGGAGTCAACTGTGCATGCCCAGAGCTCAGAGGCAGTGACTAAGGGCTGCAGCATCTCCTCTTTCCTTTGTGAGTGCTTTCTACAGACATCTCTTATGCCCCCTGGCTTTGAGCTGGCATCACATCCTCCCTCACGCAGGTGGTGTCCCTGCAGTTAAACAGGGAAGACACAGAGCTTTTGTGCAAACTTACAACTTTTGCTGAAAAAATGAAGTATAAGGGAATGTGTGTTGGACATGGAGCAGGTAGGAACTGGCCACTCCAGGGAATGGTGGCAGAAGTCTTAAAGCACCTCCTTCCCCCATCCTTCAGGAGAGGCATTTCACTGCTGCGTCCCTGCAGAAGCGTCACTTAGTTCCTGTCATTGCCCTGGTGGGACTCAGCTAGGATGGTGAAGCTCTTAGGCTGCCCTCATTCCTGTCCTTCCCTTACAGGAGAGGTATTTCAGCAATGTTCCCCATCAGGAGTGCTTCGCTCCAAACATACCCCTGGAGAGAGTTGGCTGCGCCTGGAGGGATGAGCTTTATCACTACTCCCAGGAGAATGCCAGCCAAGATGATGTGCTCCTGCTGCCAAACATGGTCCCCCAGGGGGTGCTCGAGAGCTGGAGGGGGGCTCTCTGCTTTGATGCGCCGCGCTCTGAGGAAGCCTGGGTTGCCATTCAACATGAAAATCTGGCTTGAGTGCTACCTGTGGCTCCACTATGATGATCTGACACCCCCAGATGAGTTCACAGTTGGCACTACTATTGACGTGCTGATGAACCCATGACCTGACCTCAGGAGAGGTTCTCCAGATCCTGGCTGCTTAAAAAGGGTCCTGCTGTGCACCACCCTTAGCTTTCCAGCGCCATTCTACTTTGAGTACTCGGAGAAGGGGTGGGGGTTGTTTTGCTTTGGGGAGTCAGGGTTGAGGGGGCGGTCTAGGACCAGAGTGGGGTTCTGATGGCAGGAGTGGGGGTTACTTTGAGGGGTCAGTACAGTGACTGCCTGTGCCATGCGACTCAGGTACCTGGCACCCATGGACTTTGCCCAGGGATCAGATCAGAGGGGAGTGGGGAAAGTACTGGAGTTCCATTGGCCAGCCTCTTTAGGTGCACAACTCAGAAGTCACCCTGGCAGCAGGACCAGAGCAGCTAAGATAGCAGGTCCCATGCAGGACTCCTGTCATCACAACAGTGCCTTCCTTGGACTGGGAGGGAGGAAGGAAAGAAGGGAGGGAAGGAGTGGGGAACTGAACAAGTATGTTAAGAGTAATGCTTAGAAGTGAATTCTTATTTGAACTGCAAAGCTGATTTTAGATAAAATCAGTTAATGGTAGCTTTTGTGCTTCAAAAGGGCATCCTCTGCCAGGTGGGCATTTTACGTCATGTGTAATTTTATGAGAATTTCTGATGGAGCATTTCAGAAAAGAGAAAATGTTAGAGGAGGGGAGGGGAAAAATCAAAATGGGTATGCAGAAAAAATAGGTGGTGAACCACAACAGGTGAGATGAGTAATAGCAATCTTGAAAACTGATCTTTTCTAAATGCCTTTTTTGTTGATCAAATTCAGAAATAGCTATACTTTTTTAATATCCTTGACTTGGTTTCATTTTTACAGTGTAAACCATGGAAATGATCCCAACATATAACAGAAAGCAGTGAAAACCAGTACTTTTGAAGGGAATTGTTCATGTTACAACTGGAAATTATGTTGATGCAAAAAAAGTGAAAAAGTTAAAAAAAAAAAAACAAAAAACAAAAAAAAACAACAACAACAAAACTTTTTTATCATATTTCTTGTTTATTGTCCTGCACCGAATTAATTCTGAAAAGTTTATTTTACTTTTTCTCTTCTTCAGACATGTTATTTTGCAGTATATAGTTCATATATTTCAGGGTATGTTGCAAACTACTAATTACATTTTTTTTAAACAGATACAGACCCACGCGTTTTAGAAAAACAAGAACTACAGCAACCAACTTACGTTGCCCTAAGCTATATTAACAGGTAAGCATTTTTTCCATATATGACCAGCAATGTTTTGTAGTTTATATATGTGTCATCAGCATAGATGCATTTTATATAATGCTAGAATAAGGTACCTATGATTCTATATTTAAAATAATATATAGCACAATAAATGATACTTTGCGCAAATATTTTGTGAATTGTGACTATAATAGCTTTACTGGATGTCAATTCATCATTAATGCATATGTGGGCACTGGGCATATGAATATGACTTTTTTTGTTTTGTTTAAGGTTAAGTCTTAACATAATATTTTTTCAGCCATTTTTACCTTCTGACTTGGCCACCTGAATGAGGGGTGCATTTACTTGTGGAATCTTTTTCCATTCTTGGCATTTATACAGTGAAGTTTTAAAGTGGTACTTCATAGGCTGGAGGCTAAAATACTATGCCAGAGGGTTTGAAATTTACATTAATCGTTTGTTTTGTTTTGTTTTTAAAAGCTTTGCCCAAATGAAACCAACGCGCACGCGCGCACACACACACACACGTTTCACATGGGCAAAGCTTTTTAAAATAAAAAATATATAATTTTATATATAATATATGTAACATTTATCTAAAAAGTTATGTGCCAATGCAGAGGAGTTGAAGTGCTGTTTTAAATCTTGGATTGCTGTATAATGAAAAGCACCCTCTCTGAGGTTGCTATCTCTTCTAGCCCGTTCAGGTAGGCAGAACATAAGTGGGGAGCAGATGAAGCCAATCTCTCCTCGTTCGTCAGTGCCAGACAACTCATTTGAGCAAATGCAGAAAGTTAGGACAAAAGATTATTGCTGCCCTGGGAATAGGGAAGAATCATGGACCATATTGTGAGTGAGGAACAGACATGATGATACACAAGCAAGCTGCTTAGGGCTTTTGGCAAAGCCATCTTTTAGCCTTGATAAACATTATGCATGAAGCATACCTCTTCCTAAAAAAAAAACAAAAAAAACCAAAAAAAAAACCCAACTTTTTCAGGAAAATCAGCATACTCTGTGTATATGTGCCCCATGTGGTCAATAACTGCTGGCAGTCATGTGATTTCCCATGTGACAGGTACATCCTGGAGAAAGTACCACTCCTTTTTCTTTTAAAGCATAATGTGAAATTTGTTGTGTCCCTTTAATACTAATTTCTGTTTGTTTGTTTGTTTTTAACCTTTTGCTGAAAAAATGAATTCTTGGATTGTAGTCAGTTTCCTTGTTTTCTTGATATGCTTCATCAGTTTCCTTCTGTTGGTAGTTTACCTAGCAAATAAAAATACAGATCCCTGTAAAAACACAGAAAATACTGTGGGTTTTCAGAGTCAGATGAAATATTGAAAACTACTTTTAATTTCTTTTAAAATTTTAAAGATGCCTAGATTTAAAGATGTCAGTGCCCTTTTCAGTTTGGTTGTGTATACCTAGTAAACATGTTATATACTGTTAAATATAAAACAACAGATACTAATGCATTTTTTAAAAACCATGCTTTTTATGGTTGCCAAGTGGAACAGAACTTAGACTGGTGGTTCTTGCTGCAAGCTCTAGACTTTAAATCAATCTTCCTCTGCAGATTTGTATATTTAATATGTTCTGTGTGGGCCATACATGCTTATGGAGCCTGGGAAAATAACTATTAATGCTATGGGATTGCCAAAACTGTATTGTAAAATGAGTATGTTTGAATCTGTGCTGGCAAGAAAAAATAAGGGCAAAGTAATTGGTATGTAGGTTATTTTCTGTACTGGTTGTTCAGTTATATAGTGACTAGGGCATGTGTGCTGTGGCCAAAATTTGGGTTATCTTGTTTGGTGTTTTCCTTCGTTGCTGAAACACTGAAGTGGCAGCAAAGGTGAAGACTGGAAGGGAGAGAGACCACAAGTTTCAATATATTTCACCTTGAAACAGATTCTTGCCATCTCCATCCCTCACCCCTGAGAATATCTTCTTAAGAATATTGATGATATGTTATTTTATGCTCCCTTAAATTCTAAAACGGCCTCCAAATTGTAATCATATGAAGATCTGGCCTTGATCTTTGCTAGAGATGTAATACTGTTTCAGCTACCAGTAAGCATATACAGATGTAGCTTCCTGGGTGAATAACCCTAATGTAGACAGGCAAAGCTACAGTCAGGACTGGTAGAGCTTTTCATTTCTTGAAACTAGAATAAGCTTTTCCACTATAAATTGCATTTGATAGTGACTTATGCTGTCCACATTAAGCATTTGCGCAAGTGACTGACTGAATTGCAGCACATCTCAACACAGACCAGACTTAAATTAATGTTGTTCTTAATGTAATTTAACAGGATTGGTGGTTGTTTCCTGTTTACATTGCCCTTTCCTCTTACAAGCCAAAATTCAGTACTGCTGAAGCATGCGCACTAAATCTTCACCTATGTTCTAAGTGTAGAAGTAGTAGACTGCAAGGTCCTCAGACATGTACATCAGCAGCATTCATGCCATTCAAATAATACTTCGGGGATAGTTGGTTATGGTGCTGAGCTACAACATCTGGTACTCCTTAGAAATCTTTCTTTGTGCCCATTAATAAGAGAAGCTTAAGACATCTCTGTGTCTTATTTCGTTTGGATGTGAAGATTAGTAGCAGTAATCTACATGATATGACATTCATTTATGTACCTGAGACTTGGTCTGGGACTTGAATAAAGATCGTTCTTAACCCTGCCATATTTATAGTACAGTATGATGTACTGGGCTTGAAAAACATTGTGAAGGTTTCTGCACCTAAATTATTGTCTATTTAACAATTCCTTTGAATGGGAAAAACCCTGAAATGTCTATTAATGGAGAAATATATTTGACAGCAAGCATTACTTGGGATAAGTTCATGTCTTTTTTTTCTAGTCCACAGATTTTGGTTCCAGTACTGTTAATAACTTGTTTAAAAAACGTAATGGCCAACACCACAGAATTTTGTGCTGTTTTGAAACTTTTTTTAAAAAACAGTAAGTCAGTGTTATATGATCCATGTTTATATAATACTTGCATGTTAACTGCTTTGTATTTAGAGACATCACTATTTGTGATTGTTTTATGTATTTTCATAACAAAGTATTAAACTCACACAATGTTACTGACATTGTAATTCTAGGCAATTGACCTTTATCTTCCTTGTAAAATTACTATGTTGCATTCCTGATGAAACTTGAAAAAATTATTTGTTTTAGTCTAAACAGGCCATGCATTTATATTTGGTTGTCTGCACTCAAGATTGTTCTTCATCACTGGGGATTTTTTCTCCGTGATACAAGTTAAGACGTTTTCTCTGGCAATCAGTTCTCAGTGTAGAATGGTTAAACAGTAAACAAGTAGCTCAGTAAGCATAGGCATTTACACTAGAGCTTCCAAACTGTGAGTTCAACACTTCAAACACACTGAAACTTCCTTCAAAACTATTGTAAAAATTTTTGTATGTGTAATTTACTGTTGGCAGTTTAGCAAAGATTATACCCTCTCATGCTGTCTTAATGATGATGCGTGATAGTGTACACCAGTTCCAAAGAAACTGTAAATTCTATTTTCTCAGCAGTAGGCTATATCTTTTGACCATACTAAAACCAGGAGTTAAAACAGGAGGCCTCACCTGAAGATATATTTGCAGCTACTGTACACTGTGTTTTTTTTTTTTCCCTCTGTCCCTTATCCAAGCTATGTCACTTTAATACCTTTCAGATGTGTTTGCTAGTTTTGCCTCTAAATCAGATTGGCCACAGTTCAAGCAGGTAAGTGCCATAATAAATGGGTTGGTTTTTTAAATGGAGTGTTGCTTAATTCACCAAAGTTATGAAGGAGAGATTCAGGCGTAAAAAGGTTAAGAATCACTGCAGTAACTGTTCTGTGGGCAAAAAAGATGATTTCAGTGGCCTAATCTGTGGCTACCGTACTTTTCACGTGCTAAAAACGCTCTTTTTTTATGTAACATTTTTTATTAAAGGCCTTATGAAGAGAGGCTGAGAGCCATGGGACTCTTTAGCCTGAAGAAGCGTAGGCTCAGGGGTGACTTGATGGCAGCCTCTAAGTACATAAAAGGTGTGCATCAGGATCTGGGGGAACACTTGTTCACCAGAGCACCCCAAGGAAAGACAAAGACCAATGGTCACAAACTCCTGCAAAACCATTTTAGACTGGACATAAGGAAAAACTTCTTCACTGTCCAAGCCACCGAAGCCTGGAATAGACTGCCCCCAGAGGTGGTGCAAGCACCTACTCTGGACACTTTCAAGAAACATTTGGATGACTATCTTGCTGGGATCCTTTGATCCCAACTGACTTCCTGCCCCTTGGGCAGGTGGCTGGACCCGATGATCTTACGAGGTCCCTTCTAGCCCTAAAGTCTATGAAATCTATGAAAGGATGTTTTTGTGAGGAGTAAGTTAATGCTGAAATGAGAGGGAAGAGTTTTAGTACTGGTGTAATAGTTATGGTACTAGAGCGAGAGGGGCATCCGTCCTGGGCACCAAATACCCCTGCAGAGTCTGTACCCTGGCCATATAGTCACACTAGGAACTCCAGAACAGTCTGCAGTTGCTGCTGGCGCTGCGTTAGAACAACAGCTGAAGCAGGCAGAATGTGTAGTAGCAGCAGCAGCTCATTTGGGGGCTGTTTCGGAGTTTTCAGCATGGCTAAGACTGCTGTTCCCCTGCACCTCCACTCTCAGATCCTACATGTCCCTCTCCCCACCTGCTGTCTGAACCATGCCCCCCTCCCTACCACTCTTGGGCACCAATTTTGCTTGTTAAGCCACTGCTGGACTTATAAAGAATATGAGTTCAATTATTGCTTCTACCCAAGATTGTGTATGGTGTTTGAAAATGCACTTGTTGAAAAACAATGTCATGACTTCTGCTGTCTTCATGGAAGCTGAATGTAGGCCACATGTCTGCCCATTTACAAAGCAGACAATAGTTCATCTCTTCACAGAGTGCGGTAGTAAGGCAGAAGGCAGGGCAGTGTCACACTTTAGAGCAGTGGTTCTCAACCTT